ATATCTCTAACGATAAGCCTAAGCCACCGCTAGCTTCCAATTATCACTTCACTTGTACTTAATGATTTATACAACATATTCAAGCTTAAATTTAGTCTCTAAAGGATATGGCGATGTTATTTCATTAAATCCACATTGAGGGTTTTGAGGGTTCTGCTCACGATTACTTTATACCCTACTGCGAGTTAGTTATCGACGCTGAATATTTTATGTACACCGGGTGGATGTTTTTGAGTTTGCAGCGAAATTCGTTGGTATTGTATGGCTGTGTGGAGGGTTTATTTATTTGATTGGACGATGCATTTGCTCGACGACGAGAAGTTTCTTCGAGGATCGGTTGGTTTTCCGGCGAACAGCGCAAATATACGTTACACTCGAATTCTAGTGCGATTTCCCTTTTTAAAGGTGGACAGATGGACGGGTGGATATTCCGTGACCGGTCGGTCAATCTGCTTAAAGACATTTTGCCTAACGGACAATTTGCCCGACGGACAATTTGCCTGACGGACAGTTTACCTAACGGACAGTTTACCTAACGGACAGTTTGCCTGACGGACAATTTGCCTGACGGACAATTTGCCTAACGGACAGTTTGCCTATCAGGCGAAATATCTATTGAAAAACCGTAAGTTAGGCAAACTGTCCGTTAGGCAAACTGTCCGCTAGGTAAATTGTCCGTTAGGTAAATTGTCCGCTAGGCAAACTGTCCGTTAGGCAAACTGTCGTTAGACAAACTGTCTTTAGACAGATTGACCGGGTACCGCATATTCGGCCATTTACAACCTGCATAATGATCACCAAACTTCAGATGGCCCGGCTACGACGACGGTGATCCAGATGTGGAACAACTTCTCAACGAGCAAGGAATCAAGCGGCTAAGAACCTGCCTAATCCTTCCGGATCTACCTCCTCCTGCCGTCCAAGCGCCACCACCCGATGACAACCCCCAAAACGACCCCACCAATGACATATCCTTTGCATCAACCAATCAACCACCTCAAAACCAACAACAACAACAACAGCAAACCGCTAAATTCCTGAATCTTAAACAACACGAGTCCGAATCGCCCAGTAACATCGCCTCACCCGCCCCATCGGCTATCTCATCCCCAGCACCTCCCCCGTCTTCAATGGCCGATGCTCCGCAGTCATCAGTCTCGAATATGGCTCCTAGCACTAGCCATGATGCTAAGCCAAAGAAAAAACGCACCAAAACAGGTGCCTAGGCTTGATGGAATGCACCATTTTGGCCCAAAAAAACATTAAAAAAATAAAAAATTTCGTAAACGATTCAAAAATGAAAATTTT